GCAGGGTACCACATGATCCTATTCCTGCCCAGGAAAGAAGGATCTGCTTTGCACTGGCCACCACAGCCACCAATGACCACAGATTACCAGGGCTAAGAGTGGTCCTTCACTGGGGTACCCTGTGGACAAAGAGACATCTTAGCTATCCTGCCCATAGCTCCAAGGCAGCAGACACCAAACAAACTTCCCATAGTCCCAACCCAGGACTCCCTGCCCCAACATTCCTATAGTGCTGCCCAGACAGTGCCCCCCACCAGGCTCCACAGTCTGCCCTTCTTCTACAGGACTTGCCAGTTGTGCTGGGTGTCAGCCTTGCCCTGCTGCCTGTCTCTGGTGACTTCATGGGCCGATCCACCATGGGCCACACTTTCCCTATTCCCCTAGAGAGCTCTGATCTGATCATGGTCCCATTCCCTGGTATCCCCTGATGTGAGTGCACTCCTAGGCCACTCCTTTCTTGGCTGGGCTTCACAGTATGGCCAAACAAATTCCTCTGGATGGCAATATTGTTCCACAAACGTCCTCCACCTACCCTTTCCCAAGTCCACTCCCTTCGCCCTTTGCTGAGGAAAAAACATCGGCCTCTGTCTGACACAGTGGAACAAAGTCTTGGCCACTTTAGGGGAGCCCAATCCCACCTATAGGGCTCATGTTGTGGGCCAGGAGCCTGGTCTCTGTAGGGTCCTCTTCACCTGCCTTTGTTTATATTTACTTAGTTTTTCACACAGAGCCTCACCTTGTCACTGTTGGTAGTGCCCTGGCTTTATAGCTCACAGCAACCTCAAACTCTTGGGCTTAAGTGATCCTTTTGTTGCAGCCTCCCAAGTAGCTCAGACTAGAGGGGCTTGCCTCAAAGGTTGGCTGTTTTTAGAGGGGGGGGGTCTCACTCTTGCTCATGCTGGAGTCCACCTGCTGAGCTCAAGCAATCTACCTGCCTTGGCTTCTTAGAAGGCTAGAATTAGAGGCATTAGCCACCACACCTAGCCATCTCCTTCCTTCTTGACAAAAAGGGAACTGTTCCTCTGAAACCTCCGTAGTATCCAGGGAAGAGAAGCCCTCACCAATGTCAACTACCAGTGTGGGGCCACTGGGCCCTCCTACTCACCCTTGGAACTCCAACCTGAACTACTCAATGTGGGAGTGACTACCTGAAATCCTTTTAGGAGACTCAGGGTACTCTCCTCCCATGTTTGTAAACTGATCATAGGAATTGAGTCTTCTTATCATACACAAGTGAAAGACTCAGGATGCCGGGGGCAACAACCATGTGGGACACATATCATTCTTCCAGCATCTAATTCTCTACAATTCTTCCTACTGAAGCTGTTGCAATCCAAAAACTTTTATCTAATAACTACTGAAATAACCTGATGAGAATCTAACACTAGTTTTACCCACAGACATTACTTACAATCCTATCTTGAAAGCACCATAAAACTTTTCTAGTGCCACAAAACTTTTAGGAAAATCAATACATAACACTTCTTCTTTTTATAAAGCTTGCAACCTCTTATTTCCTCTTTGAATATACCAAAGACCACCATGTCTATATATACGCCCCAAATTGCAACTCGTCTTCCCCAAATACAATGTTAAATCTAAATATTCACTACATTAAAGTTTGGCTTTGACATAGGTTTCTTGCGTGACAGGGCCCCTGCCAATTTGCTGCCCCCCACACCCCACAATGGCCTACTATTCCCTCTTGTAGCCATAAGGACAAAGGAGAGTCAGTGACTCTAACATAAGGAGGGAAATACTGGTACTCAGCCCACTGCAAGTTATAAGTCAATATGCTAATGAGAGTCACAATCCTACCCAAAATGACTCATATAGTACCCACAAGTACAGTCAGAAAATTCAGGACCTCAATACATATTTGGACTTGATTCTCACAAGGGGTGAGGTAGCAACAGATATATCAATACATCAAAGCCTTTTGATGAACATTCTAATGCAAACATTTATATTGCCGTTGAGAAAGGGATACCCCATCACCTAGCACCCCAACAGAGTAAAACCCACTTTTAGGATTTATATGGCTTTTGGGCTTTCCTTGGAGTTTTGTCATTTGCAGAGGCAGAGAAAGAAGACCAAAAGGTCATAGTGGTCAGTGTTTCTGGACCAATAATACTACCAAGCTGAAGCTTCATGAATCCGGCTTCCACGCTGTCTCTGTGTAACTGGAGGGGAAGGCCTCTAAGTAAAGGAAGGCTAGATTTGGAGAAGTCAGGGAATTCTGGGGCTAGACTCAGCCACCCAACTGGGTAACTCCAGAGTCATTGTGAAAGGGACTGAGCTGAGCCTGCTCACCAAGAAACCCTGGACTGCCAGGCCTGACAGATGTGAAAGGCAGTAGAGGCCAGGCCTTGGTGGCTGCCATGGGTAGGGATCTGGAGCTGAAGCTACTGCAGGGCATCTGTTTCTGGATCTTCATTCTCAATGCAGAAGCAAGATCAGGGAAGGGGGGCACATTGCTCTAGAGGGTCTCACAGGAACCTAAAACTCAAGACCCAATGTCTCATCTGGTGGACCTAAGGACACCCAAGGAAAGGGGAAATAGCAATGGCACTGTCAGAGGCAGCCTCTTATAGACAGGATAAAGAATTTCCTCATTATTAGGTCCTAGAACAAGACAAGAAATAGTGCAGGTGTGCTTCAGCTCAAATTTTTCTGGTTTGCACTTGTTCCCCTCAAGAAACTCTGGGTTACAGGCCCCAGAGGATGGCAAGTGATGCTTATTTTCCCATAGTATAGAAGGTGCCTACCCCACTGAGGAGTGATAACTGGAATAGGACATCAAGCTATGGAGCATAGGAGCTCAGGTCTGTACTGCACGTGTACTTTGGCTTGAGAAGAATCCAGATGCTCTGCTCCTTGACCTCCGAGGTATGACATACTTCCTCGCCTTGTGAAAGACACCTGTACTCACACATGTATGGGTGCATGTTGTGTGGCTCTGGGTGTCCCACAAAGTTGGCCTAGGCCAAAGGAGCACACTGAGACCACCATGCTCACAGCCTCACCTAAGAGACCAGTCAGGCCCTGGAGATGGAGATCCTGCCCCAGGGCTTGGCAAAGAGGAAGACCAAAAGGCTTTACTCACTTAGGACAACTAGGCAACTAGGAAACCCACGCATGTGAAGTGGAGGGGGCAGGGAACAGTTTTCAGCTTCCACATAGGAGGTGTGAAAACAAAAAAGTAGAGGGCTAGGCTTTCAGTACAGTTCCCTGAGCAAATGTTAATCACTAACCAGGGAACACAGCTCTAGGAAGGTAGGAGCTGGCAAATGGTAGACCCACCACAGAAGTTTCCCCCAAAAAAGGTAATGGCAACATTGGGTTATATGAGGAACAGCTGTGTGTCCAAGAGACTACACCATGTCCTGGCCTGCTCAATAAGCAGCGGATCAGACAGATATAAAAAGCAAGAAAAGCCTGGAACTGGGGTTGGAAAAGTTGGACTGGGTATGAACTGAAACCGAAAGTACTGAGATTGAGACAGGGATTACTGAATGATCTCAATTCCCAGCTCCTAGGGTGACCATGAATTAAGACCCAGAGAACTGAGGGTGAAAAGGAAACAAATGCCTATTCCGGATCATGGGACAAAGGCTCTCTTGAATTGCAGGGAAAGTGGACAAGTAACAAGTTGTCCTCAAAGGCAGCAGCCTTAGGCCCAAGATCCCCTTGGAGAGTCGGAACCTGCAACACTGAGGAAAGGCCTCTGCCAGACAGAAGGCAACATAGAAAGTGAGCAGTGCAGCCTGCAGAGGGGCAGAAGAAACAATGCTCACAACCCAGAGGTTCAAATTCAGGGCGAGGCATCCTCCTTCTTTCATAGTTAAGAGGGACATCTCAGCTATGACCCTAAAGCAGTGGTTCTCAACTTTCCTAATGCCGCAACCCTTCATCACGCAGGGTACTCCTCTGTGGGCGGACCTGCCTGGAGATGGATAGAGGAACCCTGTTTCGGTTCCTAAGACCATCGGAAATATGTGTTTTCCAATGGTCTCAGGTGACCTGTGTGAAAGAGTTTTCGAGGAGTCACGAACCATAGGTTGAGAACCGCTGCCTAGAGCCAGCAATGGTTACAGAGGCCCTGAGTCACCTGGGATGTCCTGTCCTTTACTCATAAGGGAAAGGGCACCAGAAACTATGCGCAGCCCCACCTTCCCCTAGTCTTGCCCAAACATGGCCGCCACCAGGCTCTACTTTGTGGGCTTCCTGTACATGACCTGCTGGGTGTTCTGGCTGCTCTGGAACTTCTACAGCCTAGTTGGACATAGGCCATGATTCCACAAGGATTCCAAAGTGCTTTGAAACCTCCGAGGCCCCGTCTCTTGTCCCTGTCCCCTAGGCACCACAACTACATTCCCAGGACGTTCCTCCAGGAAGTCCAAGGCAGGGCGTTGCAGGATGGCCAAACTATTTCCTCTAGATGGCAGTATAGCTCCACAAATGCCCACCTGCCCATCCCTCAGGGCCGTTCCCTCCTCCCTTTGCTGAGGAAAAAAACATCAGCTGCTATCCATGTAGCCAATCATGGTCTTGGCCACTTTAGGGGAACCCCTCCCACCTGCAATGCTCCTGGATGATGGAGGGTCCTCTTCACCTGGCTCCTTGACAAAGAGGGAATAGTTGCCCTACAAGGTCCAGGGGCCACCAACCCAACTGGACCCGATCCAATCCCTAGGCTACACCAATGTTACCACTGGGGGTGGGGGGTGGGGGAGACAGAGAGAGAGAGAGAGAGAGAGGCAGGCTTAAGTCCCCAGGAACTAGATGCAGACTGTACACAGGGTTGCATTCAACCCTGCTCCCTGCCCACCAGGAAATACTCTTGACTTGGCTACTCTCAGAGGCTGTTCAAAGGCCAGATGGACAACCAAGTGCAGGGCAACCAGTATCCCAGCATCCCACAGGGCCCTAGAAGGGAGCCAAGGGTCACTAGAAATTGCAACTCCGACAGCAGGCCTGCTGTGCACCCAGGCCCTTCTCATCCTGGCAGCTGCTGCTGCTGAAGGCATTGCTAGGGCAGATGAGAGGGGAGAAGGTGCCACCTGTAGGACACCCTTCTCATTGCTCCAGGCCTAGGGCCACCTGGGGACAGCTCCCACCCAGAGTCTGACTGTGTAACACACTTGTAGAAACACGTGTGCTTGTGCGGATTTGTGTGAGCTATGCTGGACGAGGACATTGAAGAAGACAAGGCATCTCCCCCTTCGATAAGTACAAATTCTCATGGATACCTTACCGAAACCGGGCCTTGGATGATCAGAATTGGGAGTACCCCAGCATGGATGCAAATAACCCACGGCCCAGGAACACTGCTCTGTGGACAAGACACAGTGAAAACAAGGAACAGGACAATGAATTTCAGCTTCTCTGCCTAATTCCCAAGTGTGACCCCCCAAAAGAGAATGTGCAAGGATCCCCATAACATTGTGTTTATTCCCTCTTGCACTGCCTGATTGTCTCTCTGTCTCTCCTTCCCCTTCACACTTTTTACTTTTTTCTCTCCCCTTGTGAATTAACCCTCCTCCCCTCAACTTGGCTATCACATCCTTGCCACCAAACCATGAAAGGTGCACTTGAAGGCAGTAGCAATTCTGTAAGGAGACTGTCAGGCCTGGAAATATAACACAAAGAAGCCCAAACACCATGACACCAGCTCCACAGACAGATGCTCCTGTCTCTGCCTCTGCCTTCACTAAACCCCAAAGCCCCTCCCAGATCCCCAACACCAAAGCTAGGCAGGTCACACTTGGATGTTTCCCTCTGGTCCTAGGCATGACAACCCATGCACACCAGCTAAGTTGTTATTATATGAAAGGTAAATGTAAGTCTGTACTGGGGACCGTGTGCTCATGGGCATAAAGGGATATGCATGTCTACCTTCCTGTCTCTCTGGATTGAGGTGGGTGGCCTTGTCCTCTCCTCTCCAGGATCTTTCCTTCCAGAAAGACACCATGTGCCTTAGCAGCCAGGCCTCACAAGCCCACTACCTCACTCTGCCAGCATTCCCTCCCTCCCTGCAGAAATGACACCACCCAGTTGGAACCCTCTAGAGCAGCGGATCTTAACCTGTGGGTCGTGACTCCTTTTTTCCATTTGTAACAATGAGGCAATTAGGAAGGTTGAGAACCACTGCAGAGGGTCCCCTGGGTCCCTTCCTACTCTAACTTTCTACAGAACATGACTTGAAAGCGTTCTCGGGGTGCTTATCTCTTCAATGACTCAGTTAAACCTGCTTAGATAAGTGCCTCTCTTCCCTTGGAACACCCCTGGCTTCTTAATGTTCTGGGACGCATGAAAAAACATGTGGAACTGGCCCAGGCCTCTGCCTTTGTAGATGGATTCCTGTAAAGGGACCTGTCCTCTAACCTCCCACCAGCTCAAAAAAGCCAAGCTGGCCCTAGCCAGATGTTGCCTGTGGCGTCCACGTGAGTACATGGAGAAGGACACGAGGGTGAAGGCGCCAGCGCATATGGCCATCCGTTATATCTCCTGATCCGGCCAGAGCTCTTACTTCTGGCATGCAGCGGGCTCTACCTTCGCCAAACCCTAGGGTTCTGTCCTTCTAGGTGATCTTGCCTTTATGCCCTTCACCAGGCCTAGAGAGCCATCCTCCTGCCCCTTGGAAACCCAGAGTCAGCACTCCTGATAATTGGCTAGTAGCTTGCATATGCAAGGGGGAGCACACAGGCAAGGCCCTGAGCCTCAAATGAGCACCAGGGTAGACAGTCTCCAAGTGTATTGCCCCATTGCTTGGGACCTGGACACAACAAGGGAGGGGAGCAAGGCTATACCATACATGAAGTTGTTGAGCCAGGGCTTGCACTGGTGGCCTTGTGGCATAATTTGCCTGTGGGCCATGAGGGGTGTCACATGGTTCAACTCCTGCACTAGGAAGACTGATAGTCTACGCTGGCCTCCACAGCTACCAAGGGCGACAGTATGAACTGAGTGTCAGCCATCCTTCTCTTTGCCTTTAGTTCTGTATCTACTGGAGGCTGCATCCTTTATCGTGCTCAGACCCCTATTTGACTCCAATCCCACTTTACCCCATAAAGGTTTAACAAAAACAAGGGTCATGGAATTGGCAAAGATAATCTTCCTCTTGTGTCATATCTGACTCTGGAAAAATTATAGAGTGAAAAAAAATCAACTGTACTGACCTATTGGAAATTGCATGAATTTCATTTGGTACTGCCATAAAGAGGCAACTTCCCTGGACTGATGTCCTGTATAAAAAAGAATTCCTTCTTCTTGGCTCTGTGATTGGTGAGAACCACTGTCAGCACACCTTGGCTGTCTGCTGTCACATAATTTCCCTCCAGTTATTTGTGCTCTGATATATATCAATACATCTTCATGAGGTTGTTTCTTCTACTTTTCATAAATGGAGTAAGAAACCCTCAAGGGACCAGCAGCTCATCTGCCTAGAGAAGAAAAGAGAACCTGGTAAGTTTACTTTGCTTGCAAATAGATCTTACCATATTGACTTTCCAATGATAAGGGCAAATTATTCTTGGGGGTGGATGCATCCCAACTGACCAAATTGATGGCATGCGGGTTGACATGGACACTACACATGATGTACCTGTCACAAATACGCACTTACCATGGGGTGGCGCCTGTGGCTCAAAGGAGTAGGGCCCTGGCCCCATATGCTGGAGGTGGCGGGTTCAAACCCAGCCCTGGCCAAAAACTGCAAAAAACAAACAAACAAACAAACCACTTACCATGCCAGAACTACAAGTTTATATGTAGCCTCAAGGCCTAGTCTGTTTCCAAGAAAATAAGAGGGGAAAAGACCAAAACAGACACCAAATATCCAAATAAAAGAGACATAATTAATGAACAGAGCTCCTTCTGCTCACAGAAAGACACACTGGTACTCTTAAGCAGTTGTTACAAGTGAAATGGGAAGAATTTGGTAGTTGACTGCACACATGGGCAAAGGCCAGGGGACGTGTGTTTTGTGAAAGCAGTAAGTGCCAGAGTGTATCATGTGTCAGCCCGGGGGAGTCAGAGAGTATGCCATGAGCAAACATATTTCTGCATTACCATTCATTTGCGTAAGATACTGGCAATGAACACACAGGAGAAAAAGACAATACCTTCTCACTTTAGGGAGGATTGATTCAGAGGGAGAAAGGCAGAGGGGACAACTTGAGATGTTACTAGTTATGACATTAATTGGGAGAAATTTCTCTATATAGTGGCATCTCCAAGGCAGTTATAAAAGAAAGAAAATCAAACATCAAAATGGGGTGGCTTGTCGCCTGTAACTTAGTGGTTAGGGTGCCAGCCACATGTACCAGCGCTGGTGGGTTCCAACCCAGCCTGGGCCTGCTAAACAAACAAACAAACAACAACAACAATAAAAAATAGCCAGGCGTTGTGGCAGGCGCCTGTAGTCCCAGCTACTCAAGAGGCTGAGACAAGAGAATTTCTTGAACCCAAGAGTTTCAGCTTGCTGTGAGGTATGATGTTATGGCACTCTACAGAGGGTGACAAAGTGAGATTCTGTCTCAGTTAAAAAAAAAAAA